AAGTGAACAATATTTGTTAGTAGAGAGCTTGATTTATTATAAATGGTATTAAAGTTAGTTATGGGACGGTGCAAACTTTGTGGCTCAACAGCCCTTTCTCTCTCTTCCCTAGCTTTATAATACATTTTGTTTTTCTTTCTCTGTTTGAACCTTTAAGGGCACTTTTGATGGAATAAAAAAATGGCCCCATCTTAGATTTGAAGTAGATTGGATTAATAAAGCTTTTATGCTCTTTGATCCTACCATCTCTATTACTTTTGTTGTTCAAACCCAATTATTGAAAAAAAGTCACTTTTTAATTTTGAATCTTTCATATAACGCATCAAACTCTACCTTCGATCGAAAGGTATACATATAACATGAACATGCAACAAAATTATATGGGACCTAAATCACTTCGGTCAAAACATTTCAATGATAATGGATTTTTTGAACCCTTAAATAACGACTTTAGAGAACCTCATTTTTCTCGTCAATGATTTCTTACTCTTTTTCTTTAGCTCTTTCGATCCTTCTTGGAATGACCCATTACCCTAATTCAAAAATAATAGGCAATCATGGCGGTACGCCTAACTTAGGACCCCAAAATTTGTGTCCTTTCTTGAAATTGAGATTGTTTTTTTTTTTTTTTTTTTTGAAAAAATAATTCACAAATTCTTTAAAGATTTTTTTGTTTTTAATTATTTAGTATTAAAAAGGGGGAAATGAAAAAAAGAAAAAAAAAAAAAAGAGGGGAAATGGAGCCATAATTGGCGCCTGAAACAGTGTGTGTACGGCACGTGCAGAGGGGGGCATTACAAAATCATCAGCTTGGGCTGCTTCACCTTCTGAATTTGGTTTTAAAGACCAGTCAAACCCCTCTTGATAATGACCCTTCCTTCCTTTACCCTCCTCTACTTTCCATTCATTCATTCGTATAATTATATATACAGTTAATAGATATTGTCTGTTTCGACTTGTTATGTATTGCTATCAGTCTCACGATTTTAGAACGTATTTGTTAGAGAATAGTCGTGGATTATACACGAGAGAAAAGGGTTAGATTTGAGTTGTTATGAAAAGGCATGCATGTCCTTTTGTACATATATGTATGCATACAACATTTAACAGAGTGCAACAAAAGAAAAACAAAAAGGACCTGAAGGTGAAGACCTTTGGCCACACACACATGGACATTTTTACCCTCTGTCCCATTGCTAGCATATATTATCCGTTTTAATCTACCGTTTTAAAATGAGAATTGAATTCTTTCATTTAAATGTTTTGTAAAAGAAAGATATCTCATTTGATAAATATTATTGTTACATTCGATCGATCTGGTTTAAAAGTATTGATATAATTAAGCATTTGGGTTTGTTGATAATTTAACCTATGATATTAGAGCAATTGCTCAATTTCAATGGTATAATCTCTCATAGAAATAAAATATTTAAAAGAAAAAAGATGTTCGGGTCTTGAAAGTTACTTTAAACAAATTTCAATCATTGGTGACGTTATTGCATGCGGGAATAATTAGATTAAAAAAAGTTTATAAAATTGCATGAAAGTAAGAGATAATGTATGTTGGCTTTTAATGTGTTTATTACTATTATTGAAACTACCTTGGTTTTGGTCAACATTGATACTATTAGCATTCATTGAATCACGTGCATCTGTGGAACAATCTCTATTCCAAAACCCTACTAACTTTTGACACATCATTAATATATACAAATGTTTATGGTATCTACTCAATACCAACCAAATCTAATGAAATTATACACGACGATATCGTGTTATTTTCGTTTACAGCTTCTTTTAAAAACAAGAACTTTGATATAATGTTATCTTTATCGGGAAATAAATGTTAGCACATTGAAAGGTACATTGGGCCCGAAATCAATAAATGGTTTATACAACTGCAAATTAAGAAGGTACGAGAGGGAGGCACGTGTAATGTCGGTGAGAATTCGAACGATAATAATAATAGGAAAATAGAATAACGAGTAAGGAGAGGGGTTGTGGTGTGAGGTTTGGGAGAGGAGAGGGGGCCAGTTGTTGTTGGTGGGTTTGGGTTCCCAGCTGGATGGGTTTAGGGTTAGTAGATGGTGGTGTAGACAAATAGTTGATTGTTTGGTACTCTTCAAACATGGATTTGATAGCCCCTTTGTTGCTTTCTTTCCTCAACTCTTTTCTTTCTATTCTTACAATCATTCAATTTGTTTTCTTTCTTTCTTTCTCTTTTTATGCCTCTATGTTCCGGGTCCGATTCGAGTTTAATGTTTGTTGGATTTAGCTTCGTTAGAGTTTCGAACATTTGTCATCACTCTGTTAAGATTGTTTAGGACATTTTGTGTGACGACGACACGTTGTTTATTGCTCTCGTCACTTTTTTTTTTCATTGTCTAGATTTATACTTTTTAAATTAATTTCAACAAAAAAAAAACATTTTTATTTATTTTTATATGTATAATATAAGACATATGGTAACCGTCTAAGTTCCCAGCTAATAAAAATTGTCCGATTTTACTCGTCAAAGATTATTATCAGGACGTAGGATGTATCTGACAGATAGTTATGATATGTTTTTTAAGATGGTCAAGGCTGACCACATTATGATGGCCATTTTTAATAATTATTAGACAAAAGGCTATAAATCTCCTTTAAGAACTTTTGTAAGTTTTTGAAGTGGGTGGTCCTTCCTTCCTCATCATTTTTTTTTCTTTCTATTTATTTGGATGTGGGATATTCTCAAAGCATTTTGTGGCGTAGAATATTCCAAATTAGAATTATTGATGCTGAGAATATTACCTAAAAATTAAATGTTAAGTATAATTGACACATTCTCTTACGACATGATCACGTTACCTACTCCTCGCTTATTAAGAGTGAAGACTATTCCAACATATTTTGTCCCCACTCACATGCCTCCCATAAAAAAAATTATAAAAGATGGCCCAATATAGAATGATTCAAGTTAAACATGTTTAACCATGGAGTTACTGTGATTGAGCCACTAGAAAGAAAGATGCTTTTTTTTCTTTTAAGTTTTTATTAGTCATCTTATTCTCAAGGTCTCTCTTATTTAGATGTGGTATCGGTTCATTTATGTGCCTCTTCTTTGTTCAGATGTCATAAAGTTACTGTTAAGGTTTTGTCTATAATTGTAGCTAGGTTGTAAGACTCTTGAATCTCGAACATCCTAAGTAACACTATAACCAAGTTATTGGATGATGCAAAGAGAAATTATTCGAACACGTGGCACTATTAAGTAAAAAAAAATAAAAAAAAAAATAGAGAGAAAGTAGAAGCAATACATTTATATAAAGAGGGTGCATACATTTATATAAAACTATATATTATATAATTCACATTATATATTGATACACCTAATTTCCCATACTTGATTTGCTCCTTTGTTTCCCTCTCTCACTCATCGCTTCACCCCACATATTTTTATTATATTTTGACACAACTTTTCCATCTCTAACCCCACAAATATTTATATTTTCAAATCCAGTACCATATCAAACCATACATTATTTATATCAACCTAAACACGTCTTCTCCTATGTAGCCCCACAAACATTTATATCTTTCAAATTTAATACTTTATGAAACCATATATTATATCGGTCGACCTAAACACGTCTTTTTCTATAAAACTCCTTACCTCAACCCAATTCCGGGACTCGAACCCTTTCCCTCCTTTCAAATCACATTCCTTTATTTTTTTTATTTAAAAGAAAAAAAAAAGTGAAATAGAGGGGAAGTTATATTATAGATGATGATAAGAAGATAATGGGGTTATGAATCTGAGCTGTCGATCACGCGTGGCGTACACAACATTGGTCGACCCTCCACTGTCACAATCCCACGTGGTCATCCTAATATTTGTTTGTAATGAAAATAAAATTAAAGCTAAAAATTTAATAATAATTAAATAAAAGTCTGTAAATTATAAATTGCATAAGGAGTTGAAATCTACCTCGTTTTCAAGGCTTCGCAAAACTTTGTTGTATCCACCGTTGGGTCGCTTTCACCGTACCATTCTTTGACCAAATCCTCACTCTCTTCCATCCATTTGTGTTTCGAGTGGGTCAACATAAATTAGATGGTCGAGTCGGTGAGTCCATCTACTCGAACTCTATGTTCTCTATGTCTTGAAGATTATCGTGTTAATTCTAATACCTATGACTCGTTGAAGGAATCATAATCATACGAGATAAATTGATCAACTTAACTCATTGAAATATTATATTATTGATCTAAAAATTAGAAATTCGAATTTTCATTCTAAATATATAATCATTTTTTTTAGTATAAATATTATTTAATTTTGAAATAGGGAGTGAAATTTAAAGGGGAATTAATTTTTGTGTGTTTTGAGAATTTTGTTTTGTTTGTGTATTCACATGCGATGCATCGTAATTTATGTTCATCTCACAATCAATCTACTGAACCAAAAAGTGAAACAAAATAAAAATAAATGACCCATAAATATTATTATTATTATTAATAATAAAAAAGGACTGGATTAAACATGCTGTTGCCAATGTCCTCGTCAACGGTCAACTGCTTCCCAAAATATATATACTCTTTTTAATTTATTTTCATTCAAAAAAATTAATTTATTTTTATTGTGACAACTTTTACATGTTGCACGTCAATTTAACAAGTATGTTTAAAAGTTTATGGGTTTAAATATCTAATAGTTCTTAAAATTTTAATTTTTTATCCAATAAATTTTTTAAATATAATTTTCTTTTATCTGATAATAATCTAAATCTTTAGTTGGTAATTTTGAAAAAGTCTAACCTGTGAAAATTATTTGATTGTTTTTATTAAATATAAAATTAGAGTGGTTAAATATTTGAAATATTTAATTTGGTATGTAAATGGATACATAAATTAAAGTATTTAAAGATAAAAAAAAAAAATGGAAGTATTAAATATTGGTTTGGAAAATTGATTCCGTTCCGCCTCCCTTCTTTAATTTACCATCTGCCACGTCCTGCTCCATGTCTCTCTCTGTCTCTCTCTGTTAAGCTGTTTGGTGTATATATAAGTAATCTTCCCCCACAAAAATTACTATATTCTTCGCCATTGATTCCAAGCTAAATCTGCTACGGAGAGGCTTTCTTACTGTTCTTCTTAACTATAAGCTACTCTCATTTTTTGGATTATGGAGATTCTTCTTCTTCTTCTTCATCTTTTTCTTCCAATTGACCGGCAGATTTGAGAATTGATGAGGGCTCGAGGGATTCAAATACAAAAGAACAAACTATGAAGGCCAAGGAAATGCACCCTCTTTGTTGCATCTCGGTGGAGAGTTTCGGAGTCGGATGCGCCGGCGATGGAGACCAGTCGACTGAGGAGGCTGCGGCGGCGGCGGCTGCTCTCTGCAGGACCAAGAGCATGCCCGCCAGTTTAGCCGCTTTTTCCGATGGATCTCATGCGAATGTTATCAGACGGCCACCGGGATCCAAATCCACAGTCGCTGGAGTTCTTCACAAGTGGACCAATTACGGGAAAGGGTGGAGATCCAGATGGTTTCTTCTCCGTAATGGCGTATTGTCCTACGCCAAGATTCGCCGCCCTGAGAATCTGAATCTTCTTGCTTCAAACAACGACTATCGATTGATCGGAGAGATTTCAAGCAATAGGGTCCCGAGGGGAGACGAGAACGGCGGAGGGAGGAGGAAGCACCAAAAAGCGGTGGGAGTGGTTCATCTCAAGGTACATAAAAGAGCTTAAAACGAAATTGTAATTGAAATTAAGAGGAACACGAATTTTGGTTTATTGTCCGGAAAATTTACACAAAAACAGGATCTGAAATGGTCTGATAATTTGATGATCTGATAAAGTAGGAATGGGATGTGTTTATGCATTTTAGGGATGGCGGTAAAGAGAGAAATAGGTTTTCCGTTATGGGCAACATTTTAGGTTATGTGTTTACCATTCATCACATTTTTAGTTTTGCTTCTCTCTGAAAATAAATGTCTCTCTCTCTCTCTCTTTAGCTCTCCCTCTGAGTCTGAGGCCGACTCTGATCTTGCCAGATACTCAGGGGGAGGGGGCATTGAAATCTGAGCTTAAAGCAAACGCGTGAACCACAGGTTTAAACCATTGTTCATCATATTTCTTCCAGCATTTACTCTCTCTTTCTCTCTCTCTTATCTGGGTCATCCTCTGATGAACTTAATTGCAATTTTTTCATAGCTTTTTAACTGCTTGTTCATGTCGAGTGGGTCACATCCACAGGTGGATTAGGGGGCCATTTTATGTTTTTGGTGATGCTTAGGGTTATTATTCATCGCAACTCAATGTTGCTCTCCTTTTCTACTGTCTTGAAATCATCATTTTTTTTTTGTTGGATTTGAAATCTCCAACCTTCTTTATCTTCCACTCAAATTCTACCCTGAATTTCACCTTTTCCCTCTTTTCTTTTACTGTTTCTGAGCTTGATTTGAAGAGTTTAAGCGAGTTATTAGGTGGGTTGCTAATGAATGTAATCAAAAGTGGTGAACTTTTTAGGTAAATTTTGTACTTTCCGGGTGTTATCACTGTTCATAATCTTGTGGTTTTTGTTCTTGAATATGCCATTTTTTTCTAATGTCTGAAATTTATCAATGCAGATCACATCATTTCGAGAGAGCAAGTCTGATGATCGGAGGTTTTATATCTTCACTGCTACAAAGACTCTTCATTTGAGAACTAATTCAAAGAGTGACCGAGAGGCATGGATTCAAGCCTTGGCTTCTTCTAGTCGCAGCATATCTCCTCTAACATCGCTGAATTATAATCTCACCACCGTGACGAGTGATTTATCGGTATCGACTGACCGACTGAAGGAGCGTTTAATTGAAGAGGGAATTGGTGAAACTCTTGTTAAGGATTGTGAACAGATAATGCTGTCCGAATTCTTGGAAATTAGAGGGCAGCTTCAAGTTCTATGTGATGAACGATCTAACTTGCTTGATACAATCAGGCAGTTAGAGGTAAAAGTTTCCTTTTGAAGCCCTTTTCTTCTTAGCGCTCATAGTTAGTATCAATTCTTGTGTGCTTATGTATTATTGTGCCACTCATGTGACTGATATTAGACTTGACCGTGTTATATACAGGCTGCTAGTTTTGAAGCTGAAGCTTCTGGAATGAATGATGGAGAATTTCAACTGATGAAGCATGATCTTTCCTCTGAAGAACGTGGAAAATATAGTGGTTCTTTCTCTTCTTTTTTCTTCCCTTTTTTCATTGAAATTTGCTTTATATGCTTGAAATCAATACACGTCAAGGCTTTCAAGCAGAAAATATAGTTTTCTCAGCCTCTTTTTGTTTGGCATTTGGCGCTTGGCTTGTAATTTCATCATATCCAGGGAATTGTTTCTTTTAAGACAGAGCTTCAGTAAAGTATGATGGTCTTGTTAGTTCTCTGTTTTCGTTGAAGTGTTAAAAATTGGGTTGATGTCTATTGGGTGTTTTTAAAATGCAAGATGTAATTTGGAAGTAATTTGCTGGTTAACTGTATTAGTCTAAGTTCTGCATAAAATGTTATAAACTGTAGTGAGTTTATCAAATGAAACGTTGTTAGATGTGCGGTTTGTTTGAAGATTTGATAGATTATTTACTTCTGTCTGGTTTGTAGAATGCAGCACCACGGAATCATCGGATGATATCGAGAAACAAGAGCTCGAGGAGGAGGTTTCAGACGAAGACGAAATGTCCTTTTACGACACCAGAGATTCTTTCCCTGAAAATTCTGTCTATGGCCATGATAGCAAGGCTGAAAATTCTGGCACAATGGCTGCTAACATGGAGTTACAGAACAGATACTCGCACGTTCAAAGAAGGAAACGGCTTCCCGTTCCGGTGGAGAAGGAGAAACGAGTCAGCCTTTGGTCAATGATCAAAGACAATGTGGGAAAAGATCTGACAAGAGTGTGCCTCCCTGTTTACTTCAACGAGCCAATATCATCCTTGCAGAAATGCTGTGAAGACATGGAGTATTCATATCTATTGGACCAAGCATACCAACAAGGAAAACAGGTAAGCTTATAAGAAGATAAAAGCTTCCTACAAATCTTGTTATGCATGGAAATCAAAGTAGAATTTGGGGACTTGTATTATGTGCAGGGAAATAGTCTACAAAGAATTCTGAACGTTGCAGCGTTTGCAGTTTCGGGGTATGCTTCGTCGGAAGGTAGACACTGCAAACCATTCAATCCTCTGTTGGGGGAAACCTACGAAGCCGATTTTCCAGAGAAAGGATTTCGGTTCTTCTCGGAGAAGGTCAGTAAATGGGATAAGAAGCTGTGTAAGTTTATTATGGGATCACTGTAAAATGGATGTGTGTATGTTTATGTAGGTGAGTCACCACCCGACTCTGATAGCGTGCCATTGCGAAGGGAGAGGGTGGAAGTTTTGGGGAGATAGCAACCTTCAGTCCAAATTCTGGGGAAGGTCAATTCAGTTGGACCCTGTTGGAGTTCTCACACTTGAGTTTGATGATGGTGAAATCTTCCAGTGGAGCAAGGTAAAAAGAAAAACAAAATAGATTATGTAACACTTTCCCTTTCGGGCTTCCCCTCAAGGTTTTTAAAACGCGTGTGTTAGGGAGAGGTTTCCACGCCCTTATAAAAAATGTGTTTCGTTCTCCTCCCCAACCGATGTGGGATCTCACAATCCACTCCCCTTCAGGACCTAGCGTTCTCACTAACACTCGTTCCCTTCTCCAATCGATGTGAGACCCCTCAATCCACCCTTGTTGGCACACCAGCTTGTGTCCACCCCCTTCAGGGCTCAGCCTCCTCGCTGGCACATCACACAGTGTCTGGCTTTGGTACCATTTGTAACGGCCCAAGCCCACTGCTAGCAAATATTGTCTTTTTTGGACTTTTCCTTTCGGGCTTTCCCTCAAAGTTTTTAAAATGCGTGTGCTAGGGAGAGGTTTCCACACCTTTATAAAAAATGTTTCGTTCTTCTCCCGAACCGAGGTGGGATCTCACAATCCACCCCCCTTCGGGACCTAGCGTCCTCACTGACACTCGTTCCCTTCTCCAATCGATGTGGGACCCCTCAATCCACCCTTTGTTGGCACACTAGCTCGTGTCCATTCCTTTCTGGGCTCAGCTTCCTCACTGGCACATCACACAATGTCTGGCTTTGATACCATTTGTAACGGCCCCAACCCACCACTAGCAGATATTGTCCTCTTTGAGCTTTCTCTTTTGGGCTTCCCCTCAAAGTTTTTATATTGCGTATGCTAGGGAGAGGTTTCCATTCCCTTGTAAAGAATGTTTTGTTCTCCTCCCCAACTGATGTGGGATCTCAAAGATTAAAGATTGGAGGTTTGACATTCCGATCAGCATGTGTTCTACTTCATAAGTTTCTAGATTTCTTCAAATTTATGTGGTTAGTGAGTGTATCATAAATCTCATTTTATGATTGCTTTTAGGTAACAACAAGTATCTATAATCTCATCCTTGGGAAAGTATATTGTGATCACCATGGAACCATGCACATTCGTGGCAATAGGGACTATTCGTGCAACCTCAAGTTCAAAGAGCAATCATTTCTCGACCGAAATCCTCATCAGGTTCATACCTCGTTCTTCTGTATCGGATTTTATCTTGTTTTTCTTTAACAAAACGAATTCAAATCTATTCTACATCTACATCTGTATAGGTTCATGGATATGTTGAACATGTTTCTGGGAAAAAAGTTGCCACGTTGTTCGGGAAGTGGGACGATAGCATGTATTATGTAAATGGTCACGAGAATGTAAATTCAAAGAGTTGTGATGGTGGTACTTTGTTATGGAAAAGCAGTGAACCGCCGCATGATCCGACTCGATACAACTTGACTTCATTTTCGATCACTTTGAATGAGCTGACACCGGGGCTCAAGGTTGAAATCAGTCTTTTACCATATACCCTTCTTTGTGTATCTCTAATTGTGATGTATAGCTTTGTCTGATATTGGATATTTGATCATGGATTAAGGAGATGCTCCCTCCCACGGATTCCAGACTCCGACCAGACCAACGACATCTAGAAAACGGCGAGTACGATAAAGCCAATGCCGAGAAGCTACGGTTGGAACAAAGGCAAAGAATTGTACGTCAAGCTCTTCTTTTTGCATGCTATTTTAAATTTCTACCTGCATGATTCATTGTCGTTCGTGTATTTCAGTCGAGGAAGTTGCAAGAGAACGGGTGGAAGCCAAGATGGTTCGAGAGAGAAGGGGAAGATGGACCCTTTAGGTATGCTGGAGGATATTGGGAAGCAAGGAACGCAAGCAAATGGGATGATTGCCCAGACATATTTGGGGAATTGAATCATTAGGAGGATTCTGGATATTAATGATATGTGTATTGTTGTACGGCCATTCTTTTTCATATTTTGAAGGTATAATGTTTGGGGGAGAGGGGTTGGGTCGTCCATTGATTAGCTCTGTTGTAATCTCTTCCAAATACAAAATGCAAAAAAAAAAAAAAGGGACAATAATTGATGTACCAAATCTTGCTTCCCAAGTTAGATCCACACCATTTGACCAAAACTTTCAAATATGTCTTCACATCTCACCTGGGGACTACAATTTTTTAAAGCATAACAACCCTCGAGATATGAAGATTCGAAATTATCGATCTTGATCTAAGGAGTATCTATCAATTACCTTTGAACTATGTCGAAAGGTATAGCATTGCTGATCATGGTTGTCACCTCAATGCCAATTAATCAGTTTAGTTTTGTATGTCAAGCCTTATAGAACGGAAATTCAACCTAATGAAAGCTGACATAATTATCATACTATGAAAGACTATCATTTAGATACGTTGACTATTATCAAATATTTTCACGACTTTTCAACTTAAAACATAGTTTTGAACGCTGTGTTGGAGTAGGGAACGAAACATTCTTTATAAGAGTGCGGAAACTTCTCCCTCTCGAGGAAGACCTGAAGGGGGTATACACCGAGCATGTGTACCAACAAAAATTCTGAGCCTCGAACGACTTTTGAAATTAGTACTCGTAAAATCTTTATATAAGAATTTATCTTCCCCCAGTTCAGATATTATATTAGAGAGATTGAGAGAAAAAACAAAAAAAATGAAACACCCAAACTGTTGATATTATATTAGAGAACTTCAAAACGGATTCTCACTTTTCCTTGGCCTTTTGGTACATCAAAAACCTTACAAACTTTACATTATTAGAAAGCAAAGGGTACCCCATAAACAAAGGCCTTCGTAGCTTTTGTCCTTAACAAAAGCCCACACATAAACAAACAGAAAGTGATACTATATACATGCATGGCTATGCATGGGAAGATGGCCCATAGTCCTCCAATTCAACCCCCTGCTCAGCCAACCTCTTGTCCTTGTACACATACCACTTTGCACAAAACAAAAACACCACCAAATTCAACACACTCAAAATTGCCAATAGCCAATAGAAATCATAGAGCTTCCCTGCATTCAGGTTGTCTGGAATCCATGGCTTCCCATTTTCTGTCACTTTTCCCACAATTGTAACCAGCAATGAGCTGAAGAAAAACCCTAAAGAAAGTGTGCTCAAGAACAGCCCTGTGCTCATTGTCTTCATCCCTTTAGGACATTCCCTTAGGAAGAAATCCAATTGCCCCATGTACGTGAATGCCTCACCTACAAACATCAACAAAATTCAACCTTTTAACATCAAAGCTAAAAACTTTAAGCAAGGGCTGCCAATTGCTCCCTTCTTCACTCACCTGATCCCACTATTAAAAATTGCGGCGACAACCAAAACACACTCAATGGCACCTCCGCCAGCGGCTTGTCCACCAATCCATGTGCCTCCACCACCCTCAGTCGCTTTATCTCCGTCAGCGCGGCGGCGATCATGGCAATTATGGATAGAACCAAGCCGACCCCGACACGCTGCAGCGGAGAGAGACCTTGTGGGTTCTTCAAAACCCTCGATGCTACTGGGACGATGAATCGGTCGTAGATCGGGACCGTTAAGAGGATGCTGGCGACGAAGAAGGCAGTGAGGGAGGCTGCTGGAATTTCGAAGGATTTTCCGACGTGTCGGTTCATGGTGGTGGCTTGTGACACTGAAAACGTGGTCATTTGGGCATAGACTGTCCAGAAAATAATGGTGGTTGCCCAGATCGGTAACATTCGAAGAACTAATTTAACTTCCTCAATGTCAGTTAGGGTTGATAACGTCCACTTGTTTACTACATTGCCAACAATTTCTTCGTCCTTGATCGCCGCCTTATCCAAAAACCTGCCCCAACAAACAAAACATCCGATAATCTTGGAAATTTAGCTCAAATTGGAACTTGGGTTGGATCAAAGTTTGAAACTTTTTTCAAACCCATGAGACAAAAATAAAAATGGGAAATTCAAAGCAGAAATTTGTGTTTGTTCTTGGAAAAGAGACAAGCAGCGTGTGAGACGCCCAATTCCATTTCATTTCTTAATTTTGATTCTTTTTCACAACTTGCAGACTCAATCAATTTAATAATATAATAATAAATATTATTATAGAAAATATTTTTTTGTCATAAGCTTGTCTGCTTGAATTATTTTGGGTAATATATGGTTGGAAAATGTATTGGAAATGGACTAAACTATGTAATAATTGTCACTTCCATATGATTTGAATATTTTTATCATATTATACCAACTATATTGACTATATTACTAATATTGATTGTAGCATTAAACTTTATTCAATGGTTAAAATACGTAGAAAAACCAACCTGAATTGCTTGGAGCGGGGAAGCTTCTGCTTCTTCTTCCCAGATCCATCTACAGCGTCTTCGATTTGGAACAACAACGACGAATCCGATGGCAAATCCAGCTTCCTCTTCTTCCATGCGGCGACGAACACGGCGGCGATCTGTGTCAACGGGCTACCGACCAATTTCTTGAACCGGTAGCGTCGAGTCCCCATCAGGAAGATAGCCAAGCCTAACACAATGGCACAAGCACATATCCCATATCCCCATTGCCTGCCCCAGTTGTCTTGAATGTAAACAAGGACTGTCACAGCTGCAAGTGACCCAAGGCTTATCAAGAAGAAGAACCAGTTGAAGAAGTTGGACATTTTTATTCTCTCCTCCTTGTCTGTTTCGATAAATTGATCGGAACCGAACCCCGATACGCTCGATTTTAGGCCGCCGGTGCCGAGCGCCGTTAAGTATAATGCTGTGTGGAGAATTGCTAGCTGCTTGCTGTCAGCTGGAATGCATGGGGTGGTTGATAACGCCGGCGAACATTTTGGTGGTCGGAGACTTGGAATTATGGTGGAAATTGTCAAGAGAGTTACACCCTAATGCAATAAAATTTTGATTTAAGCTTATTTAATTTACCACTAATTAATTAAATAATTATCGAAGTAATTAGTGATCGATATAATCTTACCATTGCTTGAACCGTTGCGAAAATTGAAATCGTCAGATACCTTTAAGAAAAAAATAGACCAAACCCATTAGAATTAAATAAACAAAATAAAATAAAATTTATTAAAATTTTATAAATGTTGAATGAATAAGCACAAAAATATGGTAGAAAAAATTAAATTTTTTTGAGAAACATCCATTACCGGCCGAGGAAAGTGTCGGCGACAAAGCCACCGAAGAGACAGAGCATGAAGGAGGTTCCGAGGAAGTTGGTGACATCGTTGGCGGCGGCAGCATTGCCCAGATGCATTGTGTCGGTCATATATGTGACCAAGTTCACTGCGATCCCCAGCGTCGTCATCCTCTCCACTGCCTCCGGGCCTAGAATCATGGCAGCGGCGACCCAGCCACCGGTTTTGGCTTTGATGGCGGGCTTGCCGGTGTAGTCCCATGCATCTGGGACAGTTTTATCTTGATCCATTTGGGGGAGGACGCTCATGGTGAGGGCTTTGAGGTGAAGAAATAAAAGTATGGGAATGGTATGTGGCGCAGTGGATGAAGATTCTGCAAGGGCCCTGCTCGGTTTTTATAGTCCCAACTTCATATGCCTTCGCATTCAATACCCAAATATTCAATTATATTCAATCATATTCAATTGTATTCTATTGTATTTGAATTTTTCAAGTTTTCTATTTTTGTTGATTTTTATGTTTAATGATAATTTTGAGGGCTTTGTGTGGGGATTATACTTTAAATGGGTTGTTTATTCCAATGAACCCAAATATGAAATCACATAAATATGTAGGACAACTTTGTGACATGGATTTTGGATAACAATGTCGTTTCATTAATTAAAACAAACCCATTACTTTATATGGGTTTCAGCTCTATTTTATATCAAAGTTTTGTATAAATTTGGGTAGATCGGAGAGAAGAACAAAACATTTTTTTTTCAATAAGAGTATGAAAATCTCTCCTTAATAGATAATGTTTTAAAATCGTGAGACCGACAGCGTAGAGCTCTCATAACAATACGTCATTGACAAGTAAACCCAACCACATGGGATGCAACGACATCCCTCTCTTGAGTTACAAGACATTACTACATGGGATGGGATACAACGTTGACCTTTACAAATTAAACCATCCCATTTTAAAAAAGTTTTTAAAATATTTTCCATATTTTTAAAAAATGTTAAAATAAGGTCAATAATAACAAATATTGCTATTTTCAAGGTGACATTTAATTTCCAATTAGACTAATTAAGACTAATATTCTTAATTATAACTTGGTTTTTTTTTCTTTAATAAATTGGTTTTTGTTGGATGTTGGTTCGGTTCAATGAATAGAAAACTGAAAAACCAAGACGACACATCGACCAAGCTGCCCAACTCTCTCTCTCATATCCAAAGTGAACGACACGTATTTGGACTCAGTGAGTTAGGTCGGCTGAAAATATATATGAATAATAATAATACCACATTATTAATTTAAAGGATATAAAAACGAAAAACAACAATTAAGAGATTGTCAATATTTGAAAAATAAGTTGACTTTCTGGATTATGCACATATCCGCCATTGCAATACTTTTTTTTTATATCATTTATTACAATGATAAAAAAAAAATTATATATATAATCACTTGCGTTTTTTCATTATCAGTTGGATTTTATTTCTTTTTTTATATATATTAAATTTTAACTGGCAATTGGGTATGATATAATTTAAAATGTCAATATCAAAATTTTCATACTATGCTCTCGTATATTTAACCATATCTCTAATGATTAAAATAATTGAATTTATCGTATAAGGAGTGGTTTTATACAAATATTTTTTAAACAAAAGTAAAAAAGTTAGAAAAATACATATTTGGTATAGAAAATTATTGAATATTTAATAATTCGTAATTATTAGTGATTTGGATTAATTTGTAATAAAAGAGAGAATTATATAATAACATAACATAGGATGTGTATTAAGGGGAGGGGTTGATATGGACTCACATTAGGAGCTTTATTTGGCCTTTTTTTGTTTTGCCTCTTTTTGTGCTCTCCATTTGTGTTTACTTAGTTGACTAAAAAATAATTTATTTATTTATTTATTATATAAGGTCCAATTTTTAAGTCTCATTATTACTATATAATAAGCATGCCAATAAACTACCATAAATAAATAAATGAAAGTCTGGAGCATATTCTATTATCTAAAACATTGACATCATCGTATTTCCACACGCATTTAATTTGTAAAAACATTGACATCATTGTTGAAAACAACACATCTAACTCTTTTAATCTGTTCGATTCATTAAAGAAAAAGAAAACAACCCAGAAAGAAACAACAACATATATCATTAAACTAAGCATGAAACAGAGAAAAATGGGTCCATATGAAGAAGAGAATTTCTTGGTAATCTTTCATGTGCTCCAAGAGCCATCTCCCTGAACCAGAAACAAAGTCAAAGGTTGACCACTGCAAGCCAATGGGCTCCATTGATTTGGCCCCTAAGAGACCCTTTTTTCATAATAGAAGAGATAATAAATTAAGAACTAACTAAGGCAGCCGATGGAGACGACATTGCCACTTGTGCTTATGTTAGTTGCCTATTGGTTGGGCTCTTTAATTTTTATAATTATAATTTATGGGTATATCAACATTTTGAAATTATGTTAGCCACACACATAAAAAATATCAAAATTTGTTCATAGCATGCACATATGATATGGTTGGCAAGTTCTTTGTCAAAGGGAGAGGCAATGATAAGTTATAGCGATGAAAGAGACGGTTACTCTAAATTATGAACCACAAATCAAATCTATAAGAGCTCAAGCCCCCTCCTAACAGATATTGTCCGCTTTAGCCCGTCCTGTATCGTTGTCAGCCTCACGATTTTAAAACGTTTATATTAGAAAGAGATTTTCACACCCTTATAAAGAATGTTTCGTTTCCCTCTCCAACCGATGTGGAATCTCACACTTTCTTTACAACGTACGTATAAATCAAACCTATTTGAAAGGCCAATGATAATAAGTTGGATTTGGCTCTTGATATTCTATTCATCTAATTTCAATATCATTCCTTTTAATTGCTATTAACATGATGATGATGACGTTATTGATTAATATAAGATTGTTACTACTATATAGATTATAAATAATGATTAAAAATTGTGATGGGAAGTCAAAGTAACACTAAATTAATAAAACTATGTAGAAGAAGAAACTTAATTAGAAAAATGATGTTATTAAAGATGGTTATAAGGTAATGTATTCAATTCAAATGGAAAAAAAGAGGATTTGTAAATAAAAAATTTGCAATGATTGAAGATTAATTAGTGCATTAATATGATTAATTAATAATTGAGTTCCTAATAAGAGTTTGGAGGAGGGATAAGGAGTAATGCCTATACACGATTTCAAGATGTGCTGGAAACGGGCAAGTCAATTAAGGAGTTGGATAAGCCCTACGGTTTAGGGTCACCCGAGTTCTTTATTATTATTATTTTATTCTTTTTTATAGCCTCGAGATTTAGGTTTAGGGTTATATGAGATCATCTCCATATGATCTCAATTCATTCGTATACCCTTATTTACTCGGGTGTTACAGAAGGAAAAATATTTTTAAAAAATTTAAATGTGTGCCTATTTAATTTATAAATTTTGTATTTTGTATTTAATAGATTTCTAACGTATTTATAATTTTTAAAATTTATGTAAAAGATTATGAGAATTCAACTGGGTTTACAATTGGGCCGAAACTATAACAAGGTGGACTAAGTTCGGCCCAACAGTTTCAGTTTCATCGGCCCTACACATTTGAGTCATCCCTCTTCTTCGGCCCGACAATCTTCGTACGGGTCGTGACGTCATAATTTTTATTTATTTATTTCATTTGAAATAGCTAAAATCATTTTTACATAAATAATTAAATGAATGTAATATTCACAATACAAAAGATTTAGCCAAAATAATAATATTCAAATCAACACTAATTTTGGAAATTAATATAAATGTTGTAAAATAAATAATAACAAAGTTATTTAGATAATTAGAAAATAATAATAATAATAATCTTAAGCCGCCATTGACAAAAACAACTGGCGGGTCCTCGACAAATTTGATTAAAACGACGTGGTTTTGGTCGGTGAGAAATTAAATAGAAATGATAAAATGTTAATTTTTGGGAATCTTTGGATGCTACATGACTTGTCTAATACCGCCACGTGCATTGTTAATTATTGTTCTACCTCATAATTTCTTCTCACATGTCACATGCTATACTGTTAATGATTTATTAATATTAATAATAACTACCTAATTACCGATCTTAACTTCATAACAACTATGGTCTTTTGTCTTTTAATTAAGAAAAATACTATGAGTCATGTATTCGTTTTTCATAATTACTTTCAAATATAGTAATAATTATGAAAAACATATTATATTTACTTCTTGTAATTTAATTAATATAATGTCTAATTTGGAATCTTACGTTAATTCTTCCCATATCTACCTGGCAAATTATGATGTATATGTTTCTCCAACATAATTATTCATTGGTTCACGGGAAGGGCTTCCCTTCCGATTAAAAATTTATGTGACTCAAACTTGTAATATAAAATTATTGAAACTATATATTTATTGTGGAAGCTCATAATTCACTCTCTTTGAGACCCAACGTTTTTGTTGGTACATCACTCCGAATCTAGCATTGATACCATTTGTAACCTTTCAAGCCCACCGCTAGCAAATATTATCCATTTTGGCTCGTCACGGGGAGAAGTCTATCATCTTTACTAGCACACTGCACGGTGTCAGGCTCTTATACAATTTGTAAGTACATTTTTAAAAAATGTTTCGTTACTATGTCAATAAAAAAAAACTCAATAAAAATTGGTAAGGGTTTTTTGCATTCCCATGTTATTGAAAAAGCTCCAAAAACATTGCCTAAAACTTCCAAGCATCTTTCAAAGCTGCCAGCTAAAATCCCAAGAGGCTACACATGGGTTATTGATTCATATTATTCCTTCTCTCAACCCTATAAAACCCCCACCCAACCCCTTCCCTTTCTCCCACCACCACCAAACCCCTTCAACACACACAAATAAACACCCAAATGGCTTCCAAAGCTACAGCCTCCCTTGCCTTCCTCCTCTCCCTCAACCTCCTCTTCTTCTCCCTTGTCTCAGCCTGCAACAACTGCTATGTCCCAGCCCCTGTCCCTCCCAAGCCCAAGCCATGCCCTCCCACCACAAAGCCCAGCCCTTCCTCCAGCTATGGAAAGTGCCCAAGGGACACCCTCAAACTCGGCGTATGCGCCAAGTTGCTGGGTGGCCTCGTCGACGTTAACCTTGGCAAGCCCCCTGTGACCCCATGCTGCACCCTCATCGAAGGCCTTGCTGATCTCGAAGCTGCTGTCTGCCTTTGCACTGCTATTAAGGCTAGCGTTTTGGGTATCAACCTTAACATCCCTGTCTCCCTCAGCCTGCTCCTTAACGTGTGCAGCAAGAACGTCCCCAAGGGATTCCAGTGCTGATTTTGATCACTGCCATTAGTGTTCTTCGTGGAATTATCTATCAGTGTGTGTGTCTTTTGAAGCTTCGTTGCATGTTTTAAAATTTATTACAAATTATTATTGGTTGTTTAATTTGGTTATTTTGGTTATTGGTGGTTGTAATTTTCAATATTTGAAATTAAACGATCTATCTCATTTTCTTTTTCTTGAGATTAGGGTTTCTGAATCACTAATATTGTTAATTAAGGCATTGATTTGTGTTAAGCTAAGATTAATTATAGTAAGCATTTAGAACCCATTTGAAAAAAGAGGATGAAAAACGAATCCATTCATTAATTACTGTGAACTTTGTCTTTTACTTCCTTACCAGAGTGAAAGGAAGTGCAGGTGAATAGTTCAAATAATAATAATAATAATGTGTAAAATAAATAAGCGGGTTTCTGACATGTCGACAATTGACAGACCGACGTGTAGTTTTGTGATGGAGGGCATGGGCGATGCCTTGGTCTGCATGCATGCAGGTGTGTGATGTACACAGACATCCAGGATCATAATTTTGTCAGACATTCAATTTTTTTTTTATGGATACTTTTAAAAAATTGTTGGGACTAAATTTATAGAGCAATTTTAAGATTTATTAAAAATGAGATTTTAAAATTTTGAGGAGGACGGTGACACGTAACACCGCTAGCAATTCATCCTCTTTGGGCCCAACGTTCTGCTAGCACACTAATCTCACAATTTCAAGAAATGTTTCGTTCTCTTATCTAGCTGATGTGTGATCTTACAATTTACTGTATTTAACGAGTCAAAATAGACAATATTTACTAACGATGATTTGTTCGATATTAAATAGGGTATAGGTGGGATGAATTGGAAGGTTTAATTTAATAGGTAATCAATCATATGGCCACATATATTAAATGTATCAAATCAGGATTACCCGTGAACTTGTTTTGGCTTTTTATTATTATTTTATTTTTTCCATTTGATCTGTGTGGATCGCACTCACCAATCTGTTTGTTCATATTTGACTTCATTCATTTGCATTTCACATTTATAATTATTTCTTTTAAATGATAAATTTTAATTTGTTTATTTTCAATTGATTTTAAAATTATTTTTATATGAAAAGGGGAAATTTGAGGATATAAGAAACCTACTAATAAATTTAAGCAAAAAATAAAAACTTTAATTAAAAATCCCACCGACTTTTTTTTGGGAACTTGATACATATTTAAGAAGTTAGGTCAAGGTATTGAATAAGCACAAAAACGAATGCTGCTTTGATAATCTCATAAATTCGTTGATGTAAACATACACAATAATCGAGGTTGTAAAAAAAAAAGTTAGACGGTAAATTTAGTCCAAGTGAGATTAAAAAGAATTAAAATTTAAATGTCATCGTCTCAAAAAGTTAGAATTTAGTCTTTACAAGCACGGTAGCACAACCCACTTCACGCTAGTCATCATAGCCCACAACAAGTGAGTTCAACATTTGGATTGTGACCCGTAGCCCGTTCAACCTTGAATCAAAATGCCCACTCCATTTTCGACATTAGATTTGCAAGTTTGAGTATTTATGACGTCGATACATATGTATAATAATAATAATAATAATGCATGCCTAAAAAATTCAATATAGGTAGAACCAATACTTACAACTAATACTTAGATGAATAGAAGCGAAAAAGACAATTTTATATCCCACTAGCTTATTGCATGTGACTACACAGTTTGTTTCCAATATTTAAAATTTTTTTTTTCAATTTTCTTGGAATCCCAAAATAAAAGTATTAATATGATATTTTTGTAACTTTAACTAATAACTTAGTTGTCCTAATTAATTTGAACCCTAGATTTGAAAATGAATGTTTGAATGGGTATAAGCTGAGAAATCTGACACCATGTCATGTGAGAATATAACATACTAATATATGAAGTAGGGTTTTATTTATTTATTTTATTTTTGAAGTTTTATTAAAGTAAAAAATAATAATAATTAAAATCTATATAATGACCTACACGTTCATAATCCATGGTTAGCACAGCAACCCATCAAAATATATCATCAAAAACATTCAGATCATCACAACAACCCATCAAAATATATCACAAAAAACATTCATATCATCATCCATGGTTAGCAAGTGCTGAAGTTTTCAAATCCCCAACTCCGATTGCACCTGCAAGATGGTGTTGGCCGAGTCCTGCAGCCGCCGCATCTCCTCCGTGGTTAGATGCACATTGGTAATCCCCAATACTCCGCCTCGCCCTAGCCGTGCGGGCAGGCTGAGGAACAGGTCGCCCCCATCAATGCCGTAGAACCCTTTTGCGAGGACGGATACAGGGTGGATCCTCTGCTGGTCACGAAGGAGTGATCGGGCAAGGCTAGCCACCGAGTACCCGATCGCCCATGACGTGTAGCCCTTTAGGCGTATTACTTCATACGCCCCCCCTATCACCTCCTTGTGAATGTTCTCTAATGTTTCCTTCTCGTACGCAATTTGTTGGCTCTTTAGAAAGCTTAGTATTGGCACCCCGCCCACGCTTATGCTTGACCAGAGCGCCACTGAGCTGTCGCCGTGCTCCCCCACTATGTATGCCTTCAAACATATATGAGATCCCTTTTTTTAGCTTCATGATCTAAATATCAATGCTAGTTTGTAGAAACTCATCTAGTGTTCCCTTCATGATCTAAATATCAATGCTAGTTTGTAGAAATTCATCTAGTGTTTCAATTAAAGGTTTGTCAATTATTGAGTGTGACTTGCCAGAAATTAGGAATTTCACTTTCCAAATTTCATGGAAGTTTTTAGAAACATCGAATTCAATTTCCTCAACTTCTCCCACGGATTTCTTCAATGTCAATCTTACTACCAGCCATGTTTTACATCAATCGACCAAAAACGATAAAATCAAAACTACTTCGACAACAGCAAACCAACAATAAGGCACTAATCGATTCAAAAAGGTTGAAGAAATGTTGATCGGAAAACTGACCTGAACGTCCTGAGCGTTGACGTCGAGATGATCGGCAATGAGAAACCTAAACCTAGACGAGTCCAGATTTGTTCCTGATCCAATAACTCGATTCGAGGGAAAACCAGAGAGCTTCCAAGCAACATAGGTCAAAACATCCACCGGATTCGAAACGATTAACAATATCGTATCGGGAGAGTACTGAACAAGCGGCGGAACTATCTTCTGGAATAGAGCAACGTTCCTCTGCAGGAGATTCAACCTAGATTCGCCGGCGATCTGACGAGCGCCGACTGTGACAATGCAGAGATCGGATCCAGCGGTGATAGAGTAGTCGGTGGAGGCGCTGATTTTGGTGCGGGGGAGGAAGGCGGCGGCGTGTTGGAGGTCGAGCATTTCGCCGCGGAGCTTGTCAGGCTTGGCGTCGACGAGGACGAGTTCATCGGCCAAATCTTGAGTGAGGATGGTCTGAGCGATGGCCATGCCGACGTTACCAGCGCCAATAACAGAGATTTTAGTGTTGCCCTTGGAGGTCGAGGGAGGAGAGGCGTCAGGGATGGGCTTGAAGAAGGCCTGTGAAAGGTCGAGGCCGCCGGGACCTAAGGCGGATGCTGACGGACTCTTCTGCATTATGAAAAGGTATGGGGACTGTGATTGGCGGTGCTACTGTTGCAGAGAAGTTGGCGAATCTGAAGTGGGCGATTGCGTAGAGGGGATGAAGAAGAAGAAGAAGAAGAAGAATCAACGTTTGGGAAAGTTAAAGAACAGTCTCTCCCAGATTTTTCAACGCTCTATCAAAATATTCTTTTGGAGTTGGTGGGTTCACTTTTGATTCATTAGATTGGCTCCTGGTGTGGGTCGCACCTATTATTTTTAGTAAATTTTCCATTCACCTTTTCTTGGATTCAATAATTTAAACATACCAATGGCGGTGACCATAAATCTTATCACAATTACGTACAGATAAAATATTTTCAACCATTTTATTATATTTATTAATTTTAAAGGAAGAAACAACCCCACATAAAAAAAGAAGGGGAAAGGAGTTACAAAGCCAATATTTGAAGCAGAAATTTTTATTCATTATGTCGAGCCTGTACATGATATCACTTGCCAGAATCCTTGAACTGGAAGAACAAGCAGGAAATGGAAGAGGCAGAGAGAACAGAAGAAGAATGAGAGCAATCAGGTCTCTACCACCCAAATGTGTTTTCTCCACTGTAACTTACATACAGAAATCCATCTTCGTCCTTCTTCTCTTCATATATTGCAGACATGATTGCTCCTTAAGATGGAAAAAAGAAATGATTTGCTTGGCAAACTTGGATAATAACAAGTTCTAAAGATCTTGATTCTTGCGTTTCATACTCGTGTTTTAAGCTTTGGTTGCAAAAACCGATATAATCATAAGACGTTGTCCACAGAACTTTACTAATAATTTTCGAAATCTCTTAAAACGAACTTGTATATGAGATGGACTTTCATTTTCAAAACTGGTCCTAAACATGTCCTACATACATTATAGACAAAAAGGGTGTACCTGTAGGAGGGAGGACGTTGTCCACAAATATAAATATTGCTTTCTCTGGGCTCAATTGGATTCTTTTACGGATGACATAAACAAACTGTCCCACGGTAAGGTCCGCTGGAACTAGGTACCTGCAGTCATTGGGGGTCAAAATCTTAGCCCCAGAAAGAGAGAGAAGTAGAAGGCATTGTGAACTGCCAATTTTCCACTCTCTCCTTGATGATTCACATGCATAAAGGAATTGACAACAAACCAAGCTATGAGAAAAAACGAACACATAATTTTAAAAAGTAAATAAAGCCCCTATGCATTGTTGAGGATTGTTGGAAGAGTAGTCCTACATCGGCTAATTAAGGGGTTTATCACGAGTTTATAAGTAAGAAATACATTTCCATTGGTATGAAACCTTTAGGAGAATCTAAAAGCAAAGTGATGAGAGCTTAGCTCAAAGTGGACAATATCATACCATTATGGAGGTTCGTGATTCCTAACATGTATATGTGTGTACATTCAGCTCATCAACCATCAAATCAAAAAGAGAAAATGAACTTAAAATGCAGTCATTGAACAAAAATTCCAAAACAGAAGCAAGAAAGTTCAAGTTCATCAGCTAACAATAGCTACATAACACTTTCTTTGATGAAGAGAAATAGACACAGAATACTGTACCAGAAGGTATCATTTCAAAATTAACTTCGCCTTTGATATAATATAAAAGAAAGATAAATAAAGCAGATGACCAAGATAAAGAAATGTAACAAATGTATAATATTGTTGGTGATTCTTACTTCTTCTTATCAATGCTGGGGATGTCACTATTCTCTGCCTTCTCCACAATAACCTTGAACCCATAAAACAAAAATTATAAACAAGCAGTAACCGATAGAATGTTCAAACAAAATATAACAGATGAACTTCCTTTATTTTGAAACATTTCATTCTTAAAACACACTTCCCTCTGCTTATTAACACTATAAACAACCCATTGCCAAACCGGTAACATTACAATTGAATGCGTCCAGTACCCAGGTTTTGGGGAAGAAATCAAAGAACATTATCAATAACTGATTGTTTCCTTGCCAAATGACAGACAGAAAAAGGATGCGGACACCAGATGATAGTTAAAGAATCAGAACAAATTTGAGTACTTGAGAATGAGAAGTTTAATAAGGAACATCAAAGCTTTGACAAAACAATATCTGAACATCCAGTTGACGGTGATAGCCAATAGCCAATCAAATGAAGGTTCTAAAATAAAATCATTTCTTACTGGAATTCTATCGGTGTATTTCTCCCTAATCCTTGCAGCCTCAGCTTTTCTTTTTTCTGGTAAAACAAACAAGGAAATGGAATAAGTTCTTGTCTTACAAAATGGATTTGATTAAATCTCTAGGGAAAAAGAAAAGCATATTATTGAAGACTACCAAGATCATTCTCTTGCTTGAAGTAGCTCTTAGCCATCAGTCCTGAAATTACAATCCACGAAAGTCAGACTCGTTTAATTTTACAAGAAGCAACCACAGAATTTATGAAAATCTTGGAAAAGCAGCAAGCAAGGCAAAAAATATGAACATTACAAACAATCCCCAACAATAACAAGCTAAAAACTCGCACTGTTAATGCGATAAACATAATCGTGACAGACAAAATAGCCTCAACAATTTAAGTTAAAACCACCAAGAATTTCACTACTCCGCTAAATTCGACACCCCAACAAACTTTTACAACTCTCCCGATCAACAAACAACAAGAAAATAAACCAATAACACGAAATTAAACTCAAGGAGTCGAATTCAAACATTCAATCAACGAATAACGAAATAGAAACTCGGCAGATTGTTAAGTAACCATGGAATTAAGAGAAGAACTAACGAACATAACCAACGATCATCAAGGGGAAAAGAACAAACCTAGGAGGGAGTTGAGCAAAATTAATCGATGGGCAAAGCCAGGTGAGAGTTAGAAACGGAGCCGAATATCTCGGAAATGGTTTCTGGGCGAGAATTTTGGGAATGGAGATTGGAGCGAATAACAGATAAAAAGAGAGGGAGAGAGAAGCCTTCACGGTGGCGTTGCTTCGGTGTTCAATAAATGTTTCATATTTTTAAAAGCCTTCATCCGATTGTGATATTCAACTATTAATCATAATTTAATATATTAATGATCAAATTAAAACAATTAAATACAGATATTATTTAGCAAATTTTCAGGGCAGTCGCTCACACGCTCTCTGTCGAATATAAATGCAAATTAATTGTGATTTGATCATTCATACTCAATAAATGGTGAAAAATAAATATTGCACAATATTTATAATTATGCGAATAAATATTGGTATGAAAATTAAAGTTTGTTCTATCCTTTAGTAACAATAAATAAAAATACTTTTTAATGTTTTTTTTTTTTTACTAATTGTCACATATTTGGAATTTTAAAATTTAAAATGTAATGAAGTCAACATTAATAAAATAGTTAAAGGAGAAGACTTTTTTTATTTTATTCTTCCAAATTTCGTGTGTATGTGCATCATTATATATGCATAGCACAAAATAATAATAATAATAATAATAATAATAATAAATATTAGTTAATTGAGAAAATAAGGTTAAATTGGGGAATATTATATAATTTTTTAAAGTTAGAATTTGATAAAATCTCGTTGACTATCTAAAAGAATTTTAGCAAAAAGTGACATATTTTTAAAAAATTAATGATTTCAAACTAATTCAATAAATTTTGTAAAAGATAATAAATAAACTATTTTTCTATTTTCTAAATAATGTAATAAAAGCCGATCGTGTTATTTATTTTTTACTTAAGTTTTAAAATTTAAAATTTTGTTTTTATCTATAAAATTTAGCTAAAGATTTAATTATTTTTGTGATTAAATCAAATGCTTGTCACGTGCGAATTCTCCCTCCATCGTCATAAGATTTACGGTTTACGGGAGACGGGAGTTTGTTCTGGAAGGGCTGAAATCGGAGCACCGCGAAAACGAGGGAAAATAATGGGCAGTAGAACAAATTTCTACAAGAATCCTTCCATCTCCTACAAGAAGGACTTGAATCTCTCCTCCGCTCTCCAAAACCTAAGAGGTAACTATTCTAATTCATCTCGTTTTCTCCTCCGACTCTTGTTTGATTGTCGACGAAAGCAGAAAGAAGTATCACATTCAGTAATTTGGCTCCTGAAGCTACTTCTCTCATTCGATTGGGAGTTCTGTTTCTCCAGCTCTAGTCTTAAAGCAATTAGATTAGAGAATTTGGAACAGCTTAATCTGTTGGTTTCTTCTTTGATTGTCATGATTGCTTAGGTTGTTTTGTTTTTCAATTTTTCTTTAGCCTATAATATTGCTATCGGCAATGCTCCTCCGACTGATGATGAACCACCTCCTGTCGCGAAGAAGAATGAGAACCGGAAACGCCTCCGCCGGGAGCCAGAATTATCAGGTAATCCGAAATATGATGTTGGAAGCAGTGACGGGCCTATGTCTCATCAAGATTATATTGAAAAGAGAAGGTAACCTCAAATGTTTAATCAGTGATTTCTATTTTTTCAAGGCACGAGAGTTTTTCTTGCAGATAATTTATTGGTGCGTGTAGTCATGCTATTGAAACGTAATTTTGATTTTTTTCAAATGATGATAGGAAAGAAGCTAATAGACCTCAACCTTATGAGAAGCTTACGGAAGATGTTTTGGTAATTGAGTGTTTTGGGTTTTAGTTCATTGAGAATTTACCTTTGAATGTCGCTTGAAATTTTTGTTTCTGTGGCAGGGAACTTCCAGCTTCGGCTTGAACTTGGTAGGATATGAAAGTAAGCTTCTTTGGCATTATGGTGTTAGTTCTGCTTCTTTTGCATTATATTGCTAGTTCTTTACTCGATCATAGGTTGTATAAGATTACTGGGGTTTGTTACTCGGGCCATCAAGCTTCAACTATTTGATGTTGTCTACGTATTTTTCGAGAAAGTTGTAGCATTAATGGAACCACATAACATTTAATTCTTTCCTGTTATTGATGATTTTCAAATGGCCATGCGTCCATCTTACATCAAAAGTAACATCTATCATTGTCACCAGATCTGTTTGACGTTTCAAAAAATTTCTTACCCATGGATATACTTTCTCATGAAAGATTGTACTTCTCATTCTGATAGATCAAATTCATCAAAGGATTGACGTTATGTGAATCCTAAATTTGAATACTCATATTTCTTTCTTTTATTATTATAGCCACACGGTAATGTTTGTTCGATAATGTTTCTTGTTTGAACTATTAAACTCATTATTTTCTGATATGCTGGACTATTAATCTCTATTATTTCAAAGAAAGATGTAGAGCTGGTACCGCTTTCAAATATCGCTTTCCAATTTTCTCTTTGTGCTTCATGTAATAGGTTTTATGGGAGTAAATTTTGTTTTCAAATCTCAATGTGGTCTACTTTCTAACCTTTTTGGAAGGAAAATTTTCGTTACCAACTTTATGTGAAACTGACATTTATGTTGATTTATTGCCCACTTATTCTTATCTCATTTTACATGTTCATTAGGTGGTGAGAGCACGTCTTCGGAAAGTACAGTAAAGCCAGATCATCAAAATTCCAGTTTGTTCTTGGACTCAACTATCCCTTTTAAGTAATTGATCTGGGGTTGTATAGGTTATTATTGTCTCGGTGACTAGCTCAGTGGCTTAACATCAATACATTTCCAGTCTTAATTTTTAATTCATTTAATTTCCCAAAGTTCATCTTTAATACACCTAAATTTGCATGACATCAGAACTAGTAAGTCATTGCATTTGGAATCTAATCCAGTCATTCTTAGGTCTCTTGAATGAGTTCGAGGAAGTTGAGGGAAAAACTGAGCAACGTTTTGCCACTGCGGGAGAACCTGTTTGTGTAGTATGTGGTAGATATGGAGAATACATATGCAATGAAGTAAGATGTGAACAATTGATTCAATGTTTTCACTCACTATTGATTTGACCCATCCTAAGCCATTATGCACGATCATTTTGATAGACCAATGATGACATCTGCAGCATGGAGTGCAAATTTAAGCTTTTGGAAATTCTTAAAAGGAGTGAGGTATTTTTTCCCACCTTTATTTGTGATGCTAAACGATAGTGCTATGCCTAATGATTCTGACACTTTTTTTTCTTTTTTTACAGGAATCCTCAAATTGTGAAGTGAAAGATGTTGCATTACCAGAAACCAAGTATATCCTTCCCTCCCCAGAGTTTGGGGAGGACACCTGGGATTATAAGAACCATCGCTGGTCCAAAACAAAATCCAATCTTTGTACTTATGAATGGTAAATTCTCTGCCATAGCTTTGATAAGTATGATCATCATTTAGCACTTGCACTATCAATATTATTGTCAGAGGAAATTGACACGAATGTTTCTGATATTTGGTATAATTTTCACTTATTTTTTGCATATAGTTCAGAGCTTTATTTCTAATAAATGTAAGTACAGAACTAAAGGTATATAATTTGGGGAGTCATGATAAAGTTTTCTAGCTCTTTTGGATGGCCACTCTTAACTTCTTGTACTTCCAAACAGCTGGAAATGTCAAAAGCCGGGGCACCTTGCTGAAGATTGTTTGGTGAGATCCAGTAACCAGGTTTGTTATCATATTGTAACTCATCTAAGAATAATTGAGTTTCCAAGTCTTTTTGGGGCCTAAATTTCTTGGGTGGTTAGTAATGTTTGGCCAGTGACTTATCCTTGTTTGCTTATCTAGGTAATGCAACAAAAGTCTTTCAATCCTGTACCTAGCGATCTCATTGGACTATATAAGAGGTCAGGAAGATGCTAACTGTCCTTGTTTTCTGTTTCTACTAGTTATCATTGGGACTAGTCCCTAGTTGTCGTCTGCTAGAAAATGTCTATAATTTGATGTAATTGCATTTTTTATATGTTGAAATGTTACATCTTTATTTGTCTGGGATTATAAATCTTTACATTTTTTTAAAGTTTATTTTATAACTAGAATAAAAATTCTTTATACTAAAAGAGGAAATAATAAATGTGTTCTATTTTTTCCACTGAGTCAGAATTTATATTATAAATATCACTTTCACTTTCTTAACTTTTGATAGTTATATTCTTGCAGTCAAAAGAAAAGGGGTTAGGTAGGAAAGAGTCAAGGTTTAAAATGTAGTGTAAGATATAGTTGTAAGCAGAATTTCGTTTCAATGGATTAATAGAAATATTGGATGGATTTACATTGTGTGTGTGGATTGTTTAGTAAAGTATATGTGAAATCTCATTCACTTTGCATATAATATAGAAGAAAAGGTTGTATTAATGTGAAATTGGTGTGATTGGAATGCTTTGTGTCTGCAGATGTTACCAGATAGGAAAGAATTTGTTGAATACACTGTGCAACGAATGCAGCTGTTCGTTTAGTTTGGCGACATGCCTTGATTGTAGTACTGTTTACTGTGACAAGTAAGCACTTTCATGCATTTATTTACTGTGTTTGTATGTTTAGGATGGATATTTAGATAGATAATTTTCAGTCTTATGTCTAGCTATTTTCTTCTCCACTGACGTTCTGAACTTAAATTTGGAGAAAGAATTCTAATATATCAAATAAATAATGAATATCATAAAGTAAGTCAGTGGGAATCGGATGTATTAAAAATCTAAGTTTTAAATCAGGGTGGGTCCATTTGCATGTGCATATAATTGCAAGGTATTTCTGGTCATCTATTCACGGTTTTGATCACCGATGTTTTGTATGTAAGTTGGATTGGATGATCATGATATTAAAAAAAATAATTTCTATAATATTGATTTTTTTCTTCTTTCTAATTTTCAGAAAGAAAGTGCCCTAATAGTTAGAGTGAAATTCTTCTCAATAACGAATCATTTTATTGTGGAATGTATGTTATTGATGAATAATTTTGTCTTAGTGACTGGTCAACTTTTTTGTTCTGGTGTCTCTTACTAGTGTCAATTATGTGTTTCGCTCAGAACGTGATTTGGAAGCTTCTATGTTTACAGTGCAGGTCATTTAAACGAGCATATCCGCAGACACCCAACTCATGGACTATATTACTCGCATAAACTCAAACGTCTTGTAAGTGTATAAGGCGACAGTATCTACCGTGTTTTCTGTGTATAATGTTGTAAGAGTTTTCTGTTGATAAGTTCACCTTGTCCTTCAATGAGGTTAAATCATTAACCAATGGTAATACTTAAGCTGTACATTTTAGAAGAAATTTTTTCTGCATAAGTTCTCCTTGTCCTTTAATGAAAGTTCACCTTGTCCTTTAATGAAGTTCACCTTGTCTACTTTCCTCATGTTATGAAGGGAATTGTTTCTTTCTCATGCTTTGGGTGACTGTTAATTTATTTTAGTTTAAACGTAGATACACCTGTGTGCTACAATTGTGTATGCACCAAATATCATCATAGCTGATATTTTATTGACAACTTTAAGTGATGCTAAATCATTTTCGTCATAGGTAAAATGCTGCAAATCAACATGCAGGGTGACCAACATCAAGGATCTTCTGGTGTGCCATTACTGTTTTGATAAAGCTTTTGACAAGTTCTATGATATGTATACTGCATCTTGGTAAGTACGCATTTTATTATAAATTAAGATGTCTCAAGTTTAAGTTGAGATCACTTTGAAAGATGTACTTTGTCACAAGTTTTTTATTCTGAAATTGAAAGCTGTGAAACTCACGTGAAAATGACTCTTAACCTACTATGAGAACTATATCGTATTGTTTTTGTTTCATTTTTCTTGTTGATTGTATTTGAACTTTTATTTGCTAAATGCAGGAACGGAGCTGGACTTTCAATCATATCCGGTTCCATTTGCTGCGAAGATCACTTTGCGTGGTAAATATCCCAATATTTCCCTTCTTTTTCCTCATCATTTTTTTTGGCATTTTTTTTTCATGCCCTCTCCACTTCCCTACTTAGTCTCGTCCAAATCAATCACTTTCTACAAACCGCCTCGAGATGCTTGTCCCTTGTTTTCATAATTAAAACAAAAGCCAAAAGTTTCTGAATTTATAGGATTAAATCCGTCTGGATATAGCATTACTAATTTGGCTTCTGTATTGTATTGCTGAAATGCTAGGCATCGCATGAACTGTTTCAACGCAGATGTAGAGGACGCTGCCTATATCGTCAATAGAAACACTAAAAGTGAAAAGTCTGCTTCCGTTAGCGACTTTATTTTTTGAGACATCAAGAGTTCAAGCAACTGTACGTGTACCTTTTTTTACCTTTCCTCGTAGATATTCATATCCCTTAGTTTCAGTGCAAGAAAATCCCAATTTTGTACTTAAGCTAAAAGATCTACCTTCAAGCCCCATCTTTCATGTGAATAGTCTGGAAAGAAACATGTACTTCAATTTTAAGCTGATTTATTTGATTGTCTTTTTAAATTTGAAGTACAACAATTATATTAGTAATTATTACCTAGAATGATGTAAATTAGGGGGAAAAGGAACAATTTTTATCCTTGAACTTGGTAAGGTGTATCGATTTTGCACCTTAAACTTTGACAAATGTTGTAATCTTCGTTATAATTTTTTGTTCAAGTAATTATTTTGTGTCTTCAATAATTCGTAAACCATGAACACCATACGGACTATTAATGGGTTCTTGAAGATTTTACATATTCGTGCACAGGGGTTTGCATCTAAGTGGAATTGGATTCAAGTTTGTCGAAAATTATGACTTTTATCAATGTTATTACAGGTCTGTAAAGAACGCAGTCAAACGCCCAAGCTCGATGGCTCATAACAGTTTTACTGAACCGATCCATCTATGGGCTAAAATGCTATTTGTTCAAACTACATAATCAAATGGTAGATAATCACTATCAATCATCTTTCCAACTGTTGAATAAGAGAAAATGCAATACTATAAACTTCAAATTAGGTAAGTTAGATTTGATTTCAAATTTATGATTTGTAAGGATTAACAACTTCCCATGAGCTTTATATGTTCTCACAATCAATAGCTGATGTAGATCCATAAAATTAACACATTTGAATCTTGAGAATATCATGTTGAAAAAATAGGTGATAGAAATGCTGAACAATTGAGGATGTAAAATTATTAAATCAACAGTTTCACAAAATATAACAAGTTGGTTGATAAGAGAAGCAGAGAAGAAAAAATAGGAAAAAAAAAATAGGGAAAAAAAGAAAACTCTTTTAAGTTACAGAAAGAGTGTGCTACCTTGCAAATTCAGTAACTACAAATCCTTGAACACCATCTAACAATTTGCTACTTCCAACAAATTAAAACTTGCTACAGATCCACCCACTGAACATTAGTAGTTCCCCCTTCCTTTCATCATAGAATATATAATGATATAAATCCAGTTTGCTGCCATGAGTTTCTCAAGTCTTCTTAATAATATAGCCCAACATGATTCCGATCAATCCAATTAATATGACAAGCAGGAAGGAGACACCACCGCCATTTTTCCTGCCATCGCGCTTCAAAAGTTCCTGCACAATTCAAACCTCCAACACATCAGAAACTAATGTAGCTCGTGTTCTTGTATTCCAAGAAAATAAGAATCAGATTTGAGCATAGTCTGATTTGCAACCTTACAAACAAAGTTCAGAATAGTAAATATTCTATTTGGGTAATTCTTCAAAAAGGTATTCAGGTAAAGAGACTTGGAGATTTATTCAAGTATAACACAATAGTAAAGACAATGTTTCCCATGTAATAAACCCCATTCATCCCTCTTACCAATTCCTGACGAAGTTTATTATTCTGTTGGAGGGCACTATTCTTTTCCTCTGTAAGTTTAGCTATGAGGGCTCTAGCCTGCACATGTTAAAGTTAAAGTAGTCAACAAGCAGACTGCTACAAGCAGAAAGTACAGCATATGCAGAAACGAAAAACACACACACATGTACACAAATAGCTCCAGTGGCCATGATTTAGTCAATCAAACCATCTGTGTGGTGCTGAATGGTTTAAAAATAACTGAGAACCACGATAAAGGTTTGAATTACACAAACAGAAGGGAAAAAAGAAAAAAAAAAAAAGAGAGAGAGAACAGGGGATCCAAAGGTGGTTGGACCTATGAATAATGGTACTTTTTAGATTTTGACAAGGAGTTCCGAAGCAAAAGGGATAGAGATTCTCATATTAACTCCAATATCTTAAGCCTAATCTATCGGCAGGCACCTATAAGAGCTCAAAACAAAGTATATCTTGAAAGATTGAAACAGTTTTGGTCTATTATTAAAAGAGCGGCAGACACCATGACCTGAGCTTAGCTTAGGCATCTTTGGCCATAGGGACAGAGGATTGATTAGCTGTGTAAGGAAATTTAGCTAGTTGGTGATGCTAAGAAGCAGAGAGTTTGCAGAACTTAAACGCATTCAACGAACAAGCAGAACTGAAGGCATTAAACATAGTTTAGAGAAGAGAATCAACGACTTGCTATGGAACATTGGAAATAGTTTAATGCACATTAACAAGACAAGAATATAGCATCATCCTTGTGTGCGTGTGCGCGCGCATGCGTGTATATATATATTCAAGGGATTCTCTCCAAGTGGATGTATCCTACCATAACTCTTTATTTGGCACTGGAAAAAAGGTAAAATATTTAATACCCAAGGTAGGTGACGCTCATGGCTTGAATTTATGACCTCGAAAATAATCAAGTTTACAGTTAAACTCTTCCCTGCCAAGCCAACCGTCAACTCATGGTGGGATAGTATTGCAATACTGGGGGACAAGAGATTATATCTACTCCACAGTGTATGTTCTTTCGAAGGAAAATGATCAAAGATCATATAAGAAACCTAACCATTATAAAAAAAATCTATACAAAACATGTGCTCAGCAGTCTTAAACAAAATTCTGAAAGTAAATCCTCAACCATTCGCATATTATGCCAAGGAAGTTACATCCATGTGTATGTTAAGTGGTTAACACTAAGAACTCCAATTGTGCATTTCAATGCATTCAGTAAAGGTTAAAAATACGAAAAAGATGCTTAGGCGACCAAATGAAAGTGAACAGCCCCAAGAACAAGAACAGGAAACAACAAGCTCACCCAAAACTTCACAAGTGTATCGTCAATTATTATACTGCCCAAAGCAAATTATGTTGTTTACTGCTCAGAGTAACACTCAAATCACAAGGGCATAATTTAGCATTGAGTTCTATCTTATAAAAAATTGAAAATAGAGGTGGCAGTTTGGAGGAAATTTTTTTGAACACATCCACAGAGTTGCAGAAAACAAAAGAGAGAATCACAGTAAACTGCAGACATAAGCTTTAAGCCTATTACAAGCCAATAATCACCCTTTTTTACCTCTGCAGATTTATCCTGGGGCTCCGACCGATCAACATATCCCCTTGTAGCCTGCAAACAGAAGGTGAAGATGTGTAAATTAAATGCGCAGATGAAAGAAAAGGGAAAAGAAAACCCAACACCGATTACTCACAGTGTTTAATTCGGTATCATTAAAGTTTCCATTCTCTGAAATGGAACCTCTTGGAGAGGATCCTTCTTCAGAACCTTCTGGTACTGGAGATGGTGGCTGAGCTGGAGGACAATAAACGACTTTCAATTTGCATTCCTCAACCACATGCCCAGCCTCCTTGTTGAACTGCAAACCCCACGCCCATAAACAAAAGTAAGATGCTAAAATTAACTACAAACTTTGAACATTCACAGTATAAATACCATTTCTGCATTGATATCCTTTGCGGTTGCGCCATCAAAGGTTTTAACACTCTGAAGGAGGAACTTGTCTTTGCATTGCATATCAGCAGGAGCTTCTTTCTGGGCTTGCATGGTGACTACAAAACAAAGTACTACCCATTTCAATAACCACAAAACTCATCTGAAAACTAAAATCAAAGAAGGAAAATATTTGATATTGGCATTTGGCACCTATAACATCGCATGTTGACCCTGGCGAGACAACTCCAGTGTTGGGGCGAACGCAGTACTTTTTAGGGTTCGTAGTTTTCACCTAGAAAAAGATAAACTTCATACTAAGTCGACAAAGTAATCATACGAGCTTCAATCTTCGCTCAATTTGTCAATAAAAAATGAATTATAAACACCAAAACACCCGCAAGCAAATTGAAAAATGACGAAATTAACTAGTTTCAGGGCGTGATCTGGCACCAGACAGATACATCGAGAAAAAAAAAACAAAAGAAACAACAACAAGAACAAAAAAGTGCACACGCCTAAATTCAAAATCCAAAACACTTCCATACTACAAGCACCAAACCATTTCACTCGAAAAAAGATGAATTACACAAATCACAAAAATAGAATCAAAACCCAAAAAGATTCAAATAGAGAGAAAGGAAACACAGACCTTAAATGCAACGTAGCTCTCGGTCTTGTTAGACAATTGAAGGGAACAAGAGATCTGCTTCTTCAATTCGACTAACCAAAAACAGACAAACAGAAACAAATTAAGCACCAAAGAAACGAAAACAAAAAAACAAAAAAGATCCCTCAAAATATTACAGATCCGCAAGAAGAAAATCAGTCCCTCTAGAATCAACAACTACTCACAGGAAAACTTGAGCTCGAGAGGTTCGATGCTGAGGAGTTCTCCCGTACTCATTGTTGGAAGAGTGAAGAAGGAACAAAAGGGGAAAAAGACGAAATTGAAGAGATTATAGAAAGAAAAAAGAATCTGGAAAATGAGCTTGTTGCTTGAGAGCAAGTTTCGAACAGATCGAGAAAAGAGAGGGGCAACAATGGCGAACGTGTTGCGAACAAGAGAGGGTGGAGGAAAACACGTGCCCCAAATCAAACCTTCTAACTCTCTTTCTTTCCCTTTATTTAGCCAAATCGCTCATTTATTATGGGCCTTTATGCTTCTCTGGCCCATTTCCGGCTTTATTGGGCTTTATTTCCGACCCATTGAGCTTCTCTCGCATAATTAGAATTTAATGCCGTAGAAATAGAAATTTTAAAAGATTACTTGTAAATTAAATATTTTGCATTAAGTTGTGATAAAAAATAAATAAATGAAATAGAAAATTCAAAATCTACGAGGAGGCATGGCTCTAATACTATTAATTGGAATAAGATATTATAAAGTATGAAATCTCGTGGTTTCTCCAAAAGATATCATACCAACCGAGATAACATTCTTTACTCATATACTCGTGTCTAACTCTAACTATTTTCTATTTTAACACTAAAAAGTTTACCGTGGTTGTCAAAGATATTGTCCATTTTGACCAATTACGTATAGTCGCGTTAGCCTCACGATTTTAAAACGCATATCACCTCTATAAAGAATGATTGTTCTCATCTTCAATCGATGTGGAATATCACAATCCACCCACTTTAAGGCCCAAAGTTCTTGTTAGCACCCTGTTAGGTGCCTAGCTATGATATCATCTGCAACACACAATCTCACTATCTGCTCTGACTTGTTATGTATCGTCGTCAAGTTCACGGTTTTCAAACACATCTATTAGAGAGGTTTCTATACCCTTATAGGAAATGCTTCATTCTCATCTTCAATCAATACGAGATCTCACACTGTGCTTTACTTGAAGGAAACGTTGGGATAAAAGTGTCGCCCCCACCTCTAACCTGTGACTAACGGCCAAAAAGAATCCCATCAGCCTCACTGTTTTATGTTACGTGTGCTTGGGCAATTTTAATATCGATTCTTTAGCATTCGGTTAGGCATTTAATATCGATTCTTTAATTCAATGCAATCTCATAAAGTCATTAAAGTGAAAAAAAAAACAAAGAGAGAGAGAATTAGCAGCTTGATAATTTGCACCCAAAAATAAATAAATAATAAAATCTGTGTGTAACGGACTAATTTTACTTGGCCTAATCATATGATTCTCTAGCTTCCGCGGGAGAAAACGTCTCCGTCTCTGTACCTCTGTGAAACAAATGACCGTTATAAAAACACCAAAACAAAAAACAAAAATAAATCCGTTATTTATACATTTCTGATTCCTAAACATTCCCGAAATTCTCCATTTCTAAAAAATGGAATTCTTCATCACTTCATTTTTGTTCTTCATTTCCATTTCCACTTTCTTTCTTCTATCAACAACCCAACCAATTTCTTCACCATCTGCCCCCGCCGCCGCCCCACACCGCCGCCACAAGTGGGTCGGACCCACTGGCCATCGGCTGATCAAAGTAGACGGTAACGGCTCCGGCGACTTCCTCACTGTCCAAGCCGCCGTCAATGCAGTCCCGGATTATAACACCGTGAGCACCGTTATCCGAATCAGCCCCGGATGTTACGTGTAATGCTGCTCAAACTCAAACTAGCTCACACTCATAATTTTTTTAAAAAACACTCTTTTCATTATCTGTTAAATTATGAATAAATTAAAACGCTAAAAATGCCACGTGTTATTAGGGTAAGTAGAATTGTTTATTTGTGTAGGGAGAAGGTGGTGGTGGCGGCGACGAAGCCGTACATAACATTTGAAGGAGGAGGGAAAGAGAGGACGGTGATAGAATGGCACGACAGGGCAGATGACCGAGATCCCAGCGGGCAGCAGCTGCGTACCTACAGAACAGCCTCGGTCACAGTTTTCGCTAATTACTTCTCTGCCCGAAACATCAGCTTCAGGGTAATACCCCACCAAACTTTCGAACTTTGCTGCACGTGAACTTCCTTCTTTCTCACTTTGGCATCTTGTGTTTGATATGTGGTTCACGTGACGGCCAGAATACAGCACCGGCGCCGATGCCCGGAATGCAAGGGTGGCAAGCGGCGGCGTTCCGTATATCCGGCGATAAAGCCTATTTTTCCGGGTGCGGGTTCTACGGTGCTCAAGATACGTTGTGTGATGACGCCGGCCGCCATTACTTCAAAGAATGCTACATTGAAGGCTCCATAGACTTTATCTTTGGAAATGGGCGTTCCATGTATAAGGTCATTCAATTAGTTCAACCCTCCTCCAATTATTTCATTTCAACTACAAAAATATTATTTATTTACCTTTTACATTTATTTTGTTCTTAATAAATATAATTTAAATCTCTTTTAATACAAAAGGAAAAAAAAATCCTATTTTATTTTAATAGCTCTATTTATTAAAAAAATATATATGTATATTATTCCTAAAATCAACTTAATCATTAGGCGGCAAAATAATTATCTTTTTCAAAAATAATTATCTTTTTGAACTTAAACGACGGCGTTTCTTGTCTTTCTTAATGTGGTGTAGGATTGTGAGCTGCACTCCATCGCCACTCGGTTCGGTTCTATAGCGGCACAAGATAGAAACTTGCCGGACGAGAAGACCGGGTTTGCTTTCGTCCGGTGCAAGGTTACCGGTTCAGGACCCGTGTACGTGGGCCGGGCCATGGGCCAGTACTCTAGAATCGTCTACGCGTATACATACTTTGATGACGTGGTGGCCCACGGTGGATGGGATGACTGGGACCACGTCAGCAACAAAAACAAGTAAAATTACTCCTTTGGTTCTTCAATTACTGGTTATTTATAGGAGATAGTGAATTTTAGAAAATTACTGTTTTAAATGGTTATTTAAGACTTATTTACTGACTGTGAGTGGAGCAGGACGGTATTTTTTGGAGCATACAAATGCTGGGGCCCAGGAGCAAGCAAAGTGAAGGGAGTATCATGGGCCAGGGAGTTGGAGTTTGAAGAGGCCCATCCATTTCTTGTCAAGAGCTTTGTGAATGGTAGGCACTGGATTGCACCCTCCGATGCTTAGCTCAAATACTATGCATACACATTTATATTGCATTCCATTCATTCAATTTGTGTTGCCATAATCTTTAAACCAACACTATTTAATGTTTATTATAATGTTTATCTAATAAGAAGAAATCTTTCGCCAGTTCCCCATTCCCCATTCCCTGTCTGTTTAAACGGGGATTCTCCATCCCAAACATAAAACAGTTAACAATATGAATATGAGACAAGGTACAAGGTACAGATCACACCAAATGTTCTCCTGGTATGAAAACTTCATTTCAAAATAGAAGATCATCATTATATATAGAGCATTAAAGCGCCTACCCCCGACACGACAACCTCGTTCCTATAGAGGAGAACAAATTATTAAATTAAACAACTCACTGTACTCCGAAGGGCACAGGCAACAGTATGATGTCGGTATCATTGACCCGAGTATGGTCAGGCATTGACAGCCTAATGATCGCGAACCACGACCAAGAAGATTCATCAACTTCACGTTTGCTTAACCAGTGAAGAGGTGGTCAACCATAAGGGCCACCCTAAAATGGCGCTTTCATGTTTGGAAAGGTATGCATAATTTAAACTGCCAATTAACGATCTGATGTCAATGCAAGTTCATATAATGAGACTTGTTAATTTGCAATCTTTTATCTCCAGAGGGGCAGAAGAGAGAAACTTACAACTCAACATCTGGTGTATCCAGCGTATCATTCCATTCCTCTGCCTGTTCCACAGCGGGAACAGCACCAGCTACAGCGGCCAAATCTTGTACACCATCAACCTAAAAGAAAAGAGTTCAAATAAATAGTTCCAAGATCAGAAAAGGCAATCAATTTTCTGAATAGAACAACCTTTTTTCTATAAATATATGCTCTTGATTCCCGCTCATTTTATTCTGATGAAACGTACCTGTTGAGGATACGAGGTATAACCCGAATATGCACCATAAGCATATAAAGATGGATCTTGTACGACTCCATATCCATAAGCATCATAAGCTCCACCATAGCCACCATAGTAAGCGCTCCACTGGTTTGGATCAACTTGCTGACCCCAAGTAGCCAAGTCCTAAAAGTCCATCCCCATTTCATCAAACTCAAAGTCTACTCAATACAGAGAACTCTGGTTCACTATGAGCCTTATACAGGATATTGTGAGAACTTGCTAACAGAAAACATCCATGAACAAGGGGATTACAGAAAACATGGAAAATTCGAAGTCCTTCGAAAAATAGAATTAGTCAATGATTGTGTCTGGTATAGCTTTGTAGATGTCTCTATAGAATATCAATTACCTGCTTGATAGCCGGATTTCTACCCCAAGAAGTACGAACCACTTGCTGACCGATTACCTTTCCTTGCATCTTTTGGATGGCTTCTTCAGCTGAAGGTCTGCATGGACACAATTTGGAGAACATATTTAATCCAAATCCAAATGTTCATGGTGAAAAACAGAAATAGATAATATATCCTACATACACAAGAATTTTCCTTCTATTCCACAAGAATTTTGTCTCCCACTTCAGACCATTATTATTCAGAGCCTTCTTTCAAGGCATTGGATCAGGAGCAAGGAGAGATGCAATTTACTCAACTTAAATCAATAAAATTAATCATGCCTAAGCATACCTCGTACCAAACTGTACAAAACCACAACCTTTCCCAGCAGGAATTTTTGCATAAACAATCTCACCAAACTGCAGAAAAGTTTGCTTCAACTCCTCCTCTGTAATATTAGGATCCAAGTTACCAACAAAGATCTGCATAAAGAACAATGTAGTGAGAGACAAGCATAGAAACAAGAAAGAGTAACACTGCCCCTTCACTTACAGTTGTGTTATTTGCATCATAATCTGCAGGAAGCACAGGCACGGGTGTAGTGTAGGAAGGAACTGGGTACATTGCTGAGACAAGAGGCACATAGGTAAGTACGATTTTAGACACCAATGACATAGTTGTACAACCTATAGAATAGATCGTGTTCAAGTAAGGTCGTTGGTCATAAGTATTGAGCTTAGAAATAGTAAATTACCATCCCCTCCAAAGATTTTCTCTTTAAGCGAAGGAAAGACAATAACAACAATGAATTCTATCTCATT